ATGAAAGATCCATTAAAAATAGGTTCACTCGATTAACGAAGAAAATCAAAACACACTTTAGGTCAGAAGAACTGGAAGCTGGAAGTATGTCGAGTATACTCTCCCAATTATCAGAAGACTAACCTCTTCTCAAATGTTTTCCATTACAAGTAACCTAGAAGTTTTTGGCAGGGGTAGATAAAGTGAAACAAAGCATTGTGCATTCTAATGGTATCTGTCATCTTATTAAAAAATGGGACGCGGAGTACGATATCAAATGAAGATCAGAATAGAATACAATATTGTTTCTATCAAGACGCGCCACTTTGTGAATGCAACGAAATTCTGACAGTCACACACATCCTCTCAATGTACCGACTATATGTGGAAAACAGGCGGAAATATACTTAGACCTTAAAAAATCCTTGCACTACCAAAAAGTATCCACAAAGTATTAGGCTTTCTAAAAGAAATCAACTTGTGACCTATTAATTTTTCATTTCAATATCGTACTTCTAAAACTTTCTTCGTTTCGGTAGCGTCATAGTCCCTCACTCAAATTTCTAGCGATTTTTAATAACGGAAAACATTGGAAATTGACATCGAATTCGTTTCTAGCTTTGCGAATGACGATAATGCAAACGGCTAGCGTGCAAATAGAGTGCTCATTCATTCAACGAGAACAGACGACCAATTTGTCGAATGATTGAAACCCATCACAAATGTACTAACAACCCCTTCGAAACTATTGTTTCCCGTTGCGTCCTTGTGTACTTAGCATTAATTATTTCCTGCTAATTAAGGGCGGAAAATTTTGGGGTGCGATGATATATCATTCTTTATCTCGAAAATGTATATGCAACTCCAAAAAGCAATTTAGTGTACTTTTAATTAAGACATAGGGAAGATTCTAAGGGTAAATTAGAAGTTTAACGTGAAGTTTTCGAGTTTGTAAACTAAAAAAAGTATGGCACAATAAAAAATTATCATTAGTAGCGTGGACTACGTAGTACTTTCGCTTCTTGTTGTTAACGAGCCGCGAATTCATTTGCGAGTTGTGCTGATTACTGTAAGGGTTGGTTCACACCACTCATTAGCATAGCGGAGTCTGCAATATATACGACGGTGATGCATATTGCATGGAGTACAATAGTGACGCATTTCCTTTTCTTCGCAATATGAGGGTGGCTAAGTGCATCATCGCTCTATGAAGGGGAAAATTCTACGCATAGTTATTATACAGCTATTACGATTGAAGGTGACTAATTTATTATTATGCCGTAGTAAAATTGCAGTTGAAATTCTGAGGTCCACCAGGAACTTTTTAGAGTTCTTAAAAGACCGAGAGGGAAGGAAACACGTAGAGAGGAATCGGGAACCGGATGCAGGATTCAGAACAAGCAAAGCAGAAACATTTAACGGGCCAACTTTTGGATATTCGCTAATGGCACGGCTGATATAAATCATTCGGTGCTCTACCGAAAAAAGCGAAGATGGAAAGTTAGCCTACGCAAACAAAGAGGTAAAAGTGTCAGGGGAATCGCGTATGTATTTATTGCACGCGTCTAAACCCTCGTCCACTAATTGCACGGAACGACGCGTCGCGGCGCGTCCCGGACGAACTTGTCAAATCTCGAGGACAATAAAGGACGAGTGCTTCATCGACAAAAAGACCGAGAACTGCGCGGCACAAGTGCTGAAGCTTCATTATTTCTGACAACCATAATTGATTTATGGTTTGGTCTACCCTGTACTCGACATGTAAAAGTAAAAATAATATTTCACCCTTAAAGGTGTACGGAAGCGCCTCCATGGTATTCCCGTCAGGCGCGAAACGTGAATTGGAAAAATTGGCTCGTTATGTTTTATGAAGATAATCGAACGCGCGCGCGACTTTTTCAATTCTGTCCTTTCCCGTTTGCGACGCCACCGCCACCGCCGTCGGAAAAAAAATCTCGCCTCATTAATATTATGTTAGATAAATTAGACGCAATTTAGCGCGGCCACTTATCAAGTCTAACAATAATTGGAAAAACACGTGTTACTTTTTCATTTTGGCAACGCACGCTAAGGGAAAGTTTTATTATTAATGAAAAGTGTTTTCGCTTTAACTATTATACGAGCAGGTGATTTGTTTTACGGTTCTCCGATTTATTTATTACTCAACTTAGGAAATTCCTTTGTGGGTTTTTGGTAAACTCATAATTTATTTTACAAATTTATTATCCAAGCCATAATGTGGTGGGTTTGACACCGATTTCCTGATGATGTACAGTAATCGAAACGTTTTTCATTTCTCCCACTGCGGTACAGACAGAACATTCAAAGAAGGAGACAAATTTTGTGCTCAGTTTTGGAATTCTAAAAAAACTTGGCCCAGCTGATCAAGGTGTTCGAAGGCTCCAGTACACCCTTAAAAGATTCATGTAATTCTATGAAGGGTTATTATTTTGCGAAACGGTCTTGACGGTCCACATTTTAAAATAGAGGGTTTCAAATTTGAATATGCTATCACCTCAGCTTGAACTTGTTTTTTGTACGGTGTTCAAACCCCATATTTTAGAAAGAAGGACTTCAAGTTCAAGGCATAATTGGCCCATTAATCCAACTGCGAATAGCGGAGTGGGATTACATCCACGGGATGATAGATTTGCTGGACACTCTACTTAACTCCTTGTGCTGATCCTTCCATGAACTTTTTGAGCAGATATGTCTTTCCTTTCTTCGTGTTGACAAATCCCGTTCATGCTAGAGTGATCTGCTGTTCAGCACAAGCTTCAGTTTATAAAAATTCAATAAGTGCCTCCGATTTGTTTGAATTGGCATGACCAGTACCTGCAGTCATTTTTTTCTGCAGATACTTTTGCCAAACTCGCAAAGTTTCATCGGAAAGACTAGATTCCACTAACAGATTGATCCAAATTGTAAGATTTGCATTATTAGGGACTGAAGGGATCTTAGATGAGACTACAGTTCAATATACATCTTGGACCGATTCATGGTTTGTATTACTTGTTGCCTTTGAAATTATAAGCTTCAGCAACTTTCTTACATCGACTTGAAGGTAAAGATCCTCACGACCATACCTCTCCTTTAATTTTTCAACAGCAAATTTATAACCAACTTCTCCTACCTTGAAGTGACTATCCACATTCGCTGCTAGTTCAGTTCCAACAACCATCGACATCTTCAAATAGTTGAACTTATGTATCGTACTGATTTCATTATCCTAATGCAGTCTTGAATTGCCCCCAGTAACAAAGTCAGTCCTTCAAATCTCCGCTGAAACTAGGTAGATTAAACTGCGGTAACTTGTACCTCTTCTTCCCACTTGTCAGTCGACCATCTTTTCGAGCTCTTGCCACTTTACAGAAAAATAAAGCTGAATTCTTCTCGATACACCTCAGCTTCATTTGGTTCCCCTTGAATCTTTTCATCTTAAGCATCCTGGTTCACCAACAGATTGAAAATGATCAAATTCTTCTAACTTTGAATGCGCATCCTGGAACGTCCTCTAACACCGCCTCCAGCAACTGTCATAGTTCTTAGCTTTTTGCAACTTGTATCAATTGTTACACATTTTAAAGTGAAGTTCAAATTTAAAATTTTTTGCCATGATTTTAGCTCGAGATTATGTGTCCAGGAACTTTTGTGAACTTTTAATTGCATATAAGAGCCTTTAAGAATCCTCAAGAAACTTCATAAACATTAAAGGGGTCGTTCATTAATCCAAAGTGCCTCAGAAGGTCGAGAAATTACTGCATAGCTAGGGGAGGGGACAAGGTTTCAAGAGCGGTGTCGTTGTAGCCCAATTTCCCTCGGATGATCTTTACTCCAGTTGCAGCAGAAGCATAAGGGTTCATCTTCTCGTTTAGAATCAAAAAGGGTATTTACTAATCGCATTGAAATTTTTTCAATTGCAATGGCAATAGCAATTGCAGCATTCTCTTAACGTCAATCATTTAAAATCGTCCAGTTTTCTTAATTAAAGCTAAATATTTCAGATAGTTTGATAGTGCGCAATTTTGTGAATGTAATTGTCACTATCGTGACTGCTATAAAAAGACAAATTTGGAAGAATTAGGCGTCTTCAGATATTTCTAAAGACGTTGTTACCTTCCACGTCGATTTCGTCGTTATTAGAAGACATTGAGCGATATAGGACAGACACGTTTTGGAGCGAAAATTCGACTACCTTATTGGCATCATCTCCTTTCACGATTGAAAGTGAAGCTTCTTCGATACCTTTGTTCGACAACTACTTAAATAAATCGCGTGTCATCAATCTGCCGAGAAATTGACTATTCATAACCATCTTTCATTCGGCGAACGCGTTTC